TACTTAGTTCATATTGCACAGTGTACAGAGATGCAACATAAAGTTATTCGCAAACACTTTACTTCACGCGACACACTTTATTTTTGCAAGTGTGCAAAAGTTTTTACTAATTAATATTTATAATTAAGAACGACTCATTATAATAACAACAATAAGCACGTCCGCTTAGTCTCACATCTCATTTCCGATTTCAAAGTGTATTTGCACGGTTACAAAAATAAAAAATAAAACAAGAAAAAATATTAATCATAATTATAATAATATAGCTTGGTTCAAACAGGCCAAGTACTCAGCTAAAATGCCGTGACCTGAGAACGATAACTCGAGTCCGCAGCGCTACACCACACACTATACAACTACTCCGATACGATCTTGTCAAGGCATCCACACAAGAGGTTCTATACAAAAGCCAGACAACCCTGTCATTTGTTTGACATACTAACGAGAAATGGTCACTGCAACATGTCCCATAACAAGATTGTTACACTCAACGGACTGAGAGCTGCCATCCAAGTTAATTCAATATGGCGGTGATTCATATCTACGTTGAAAAGTGGTGTCAGGTTGAAGTATATGTAGAATGAAAACTAAAATGGTGATAGCAGATTTCAATACATTTCGTTGCCATCTCTGCTCTTCCTGCGGGTGTAATATGCCGACTGAAGACCATTGCAAACTTAACAGGCACGACTCCAACCCAGCAATTAGCTTGTCATCTAAATACGAACATTACATTTTATATATAAAACGCCAATAGAAAATAGCTGTAAGCGCGCTGTTAGCGCACGGGCGGTATCTTTCAGTATTATCATCATCAATCATCCATCAACAACATGCATCAGAACATCCTTCGTAGCAATGACCCATAGTGCAGTAATGGACCGTCACGCACTGTTAGAGCGCCTTTACTCTAACGTTTGTCCAGCGTAGGCGTTCGATAAACGTATGCGCCGCTTAGTTACGGCGCCTGCGCGGCGCATACGTGTGTAGAACGACAGAAGCTAGTATGAAGGCGTTCTACCATATATTATTAAAATACCCAATATTGATACCTGCAAGACAAAATAACCTCTTTATACCACACACACACCAAAATAAAT